GGGAGAGAGGGAGAGGGAGAGAGAGGGAGGGAGGGAGGGAGAAGGAGGTGGGAAACAGGGATGGGGGGAGAGAGGAAGGAAGAGAGAGAATATGAATGTGTGTGCTTGTGTGTCCACTTACCCCAGTGCCATCATTTTATAGGTGAAATTGTGGTTCGACAGCCACTCCTTGACAAAAGAAAGGACATTAATGTTCATGCTGTTATGAAGTAAACTCACCCCCGTTCTCACCTCTGTTGCTTTGTCAGTTCAGCATCTATCCATTCCTTTGGTTACAAGTCACGGTGGACTAGGCCCCTGAATGAACTTCCTTGCCCTGGGATGCAGGCTGCTGTCTGGTGCTAATGAGTCGGTTTCCAGTGGGAGCAATCCTGCTTTGGACAGAGTGAGTGCTCCGCCGTCCCAGCCTCGCGATGCTGTGTGTGGAAGCTGGCTGTGCTCACCACTGGATGGCCAGGGCGGCACTAGGTGCTGTGTTTGAAGCCATTCTCACAGCACCACTGTGTCAGTCTCTCTGAGGGTCTTCTCTCTTGCTGACCCTCTCTATTTGCCCAAGCACGGTGTCCTTGAGAGACTGGCGGCTCTGACAAGAATAAAAGTACACGAGACAGAGTCATATCATCCTTGTTTTCTAAGTAACATTCTGTCAGTACTTCTGCCAAGATACATTTGTTTGTTCTTCTGCCACTCCATGGTATGTGAGCACCGTGACTTAGAAGGCTTCAGTTATTTAATCTTTTTTTATCATCCAGTTTATAAATGCATATGAGGATATTGAACATACGATGGCCTCCATTGTTGTTACATGCCACTGACTTAATTATGACTCATAACAGCCCTGTGAACAATGGTTCTGAACCCTGGCCTAGTCCTGAGCCATCTCTGCCATCTCTGACATACCTGACCCCGTTGCCACAGTCATTATGTTAATCTATCTCATCCAGGGTCTTCCTCTCCTATGCTGTCACACCACCCTTCCAAATAGGATGTCCTTCTCCAAGGACTGGTCCCTCCTGGCAACAGGTCCAAAGTATGTGAGGTGGAGTTAAAAAATCTTCACCTCCGAGGAGCAACTTATTTTCCCCCTCTCTGGGACAGACCTGTTTATTTTCAGTACTCTTCTCCAGTACCACCACTTCAAAGGCGTTGATTCTTTTCCTGGTGTCCTTAGTCATTGTCCAGCTCGCAGATGCATGGCAAGCAATTGTGAGGACCATGGCCTGCATCAGGCGCACCTTAGTCTCTAGACTGACGTTCTTGCTTGGTGAGGTGCGCCTTAATCTTTAAAGTGACATCTTTGCTTTTTAAACACTTTAAAGAGTTCATTTATCTTTAAAATTTGTAACCAGCCTTTGCATATCTTTATAGAAAAAGTTAGAGGGCCTTATCTTTATAACAAATTTGTTGTTGTTATTGTCATATGCCATCGAGTCTCTTGCGACTCATAGCGACCCTATGTACAACAGCCCTAAACTCTGCTCTGTCCTGTGCCAATCGCACTGTCTCTGGCACTCCCATCCCGATTACCCCAGTCACTGAATCAATCCACCTCATAGAGGGTCTTCCCCTATTTAGTTTTGTAAAAATAAGCATAAAACATAGAAAAGCTCCACAAATGCCCCAGTGCTAATCATTTATTGGTCACCCTCTAAGGGACTGAGGAGCCGGACATGTGTCATCTTCACTTTTGAGTGTTTACACATTTCAAGGATTGTCTGAGAAGATGGTCCTTGTTTCTCGGTTTCTGTTGGAAATGAGTGAACAAAGGAATGGAAACACATGACTAGAATCAGCGTGGCTGTACTACCCTTGCTGGCCCACATCTCACAGATGATTCAAGGCAGAGAAATCCATTGTAAAATCATCATGTTCAATCCTGTTAAATGCCTCCGTGTCCCTTTTCTCCCCGATTCGTGCTCTTTGAGCCCTTCAACCCCATGGCAGGAATGAAGAGCAGTGTTTTGATTTGTGGGCACTGGGACGCAGGAACACATGGCTTGCATTCTTTTGACGAGGAGGAAATGAGACAGGCTGGCCTGCATTGCACGCTGCCAGCTGAGAGCTCTGCCCACTCCCTCCCTGTGATCCTGGCCCTCGGTCATGGATGTGGCTTCCAGCCCCCTGAGGCACGCAGATGAACCTGCTGTGCTCAGGGTTTCAGATGGGGCTCCTCTCCCACCCCCAGGCTTGTAACTCCACAGCACTGGCCTAGATGGGAGTGTGCAGGGGTCTGCACCACTGCTCTGGTTCAGCAGGCAACCGGAAACGGAAGAGGGAGCAGGGAGAGGGAGTGCATGGCGGGAGCAGGATCGCTTCTGGTGGTCTGGAATGACCAGAACATGGATGATGTCCACTTCCTCCTGCCTGTGGCTATGGGTGTCTGCAAAGGTGAGTCACCTGGCAGCCAAGCAAGATGTCATGTAAAGGATTGTGTACATGCACTTATGACTAGTGACTGCCCTCAGAGACTCTGTGTGTGTGTATGTGTGAGAGAGAACTCTGCCCATTGACGGACCATTTCCTCCCCTGCCCCTCCCCCTGTGATTTCTCTACAGCTCTTGAGAAAGTCTATTTTACAAAGAGGAAAACCTGTGGTGGAAGGTTCTTTGGAGAAGAAACCCCCATTTGAAAAGCCTAGTATTGAACAGGTAAAAGCTTGTTTTGAGGGTGCTCTGTCTAACTTGCTGACGGCCCTTCCACGTGGCTGCCTGCACCTTTCCGTCTCCTCCGTGCCCAGCCTCGAGGGCCTCACCACATCCATAGACGTTACCTCCACGCTTCAGAGATGACACTCTGACGCTCTAACATAAATAATCTGGCTTCTCTTTCTTAGGTTGTATCCCTAGAATTCACTGTGTAGTTAGGAAGAGGGGGGAAATCAGTCGGCTCTGTGGTTGGCAGGAACATAAACGTGTTTATTGGTGTGTCAGTGATGCTGAAAAAAGTGTTTGTCCTTTTGTTTGGCAACACCTGAAAAAGCTTATTGAAGGAAGGAAAGTCTTTTGCCACGTAGGAGACATTGTAATTTAAGCAGTAAAAAGGAACATTTTATACCCAGGAGCTGACTTCCCACTGTGTTATGATTCCTGGCAAGACGCTCTTTTACTCAAGGAGTCTGTCTAAATGTAGAGCCTTTTCCTGCTGCGGGTGCCATCGTGGCTTGTCACTGCTTGACTAACCGCATCACCACCATCACTGAGAGTGCTCACTGAGACAGAGGAGCAGAGCCATAACAATCGTAAAGGCATTTTTACCAGTCAGTTTACAGTAAAATAAGCTTCCTTTTGCCTCCAAATCCTAGTAACTGTCTATTCTTCTTTGGTGTGAAATTAGATGAGATGTGATTATTGTACAAAGATGCAATTCATCCACAATTTCTTTAAAAAGAAACACAAGGCCCCTGATACTGAGTATACACAAAAACAAACTAAAAAAACCCTGAGCTGAAGTGAGTTCAGTCCTCCAGAATGCATAGTTGTAGTTTAACAAAACGCTACAGCTGTGAAAGATTGCAGTTCTGGTTGTTTGCTTGAGTAGAATCCGTGCTACTTTTGATTACAAAAATTGGTAATGGAATAAAACATAATATCTGTTCCCGAACTGCCTTATAGGGAGCTTTGTGCCAATAGTGTGGCCAGGATTATTCTGCCAAACGCACATTGTATTGTGAAGAGGCTTTGACCTTCTCAGCCCGACGTCTTGCTTTGCTGGGTATCACTGCGGGTTTGCGGCAGGCAGCCTTTCTGCCCCGTTACCTTTCATCACTGTGATTGTGGGCAGAATTCCCACTGGGCACTGCTGTGTTCTGTTAGGGATGACGAGGAGGTATTTGTGAATAGGGTAAAGTCTGTCCCCCTGCCACGAACCGCCGATAGCGCTGGCTGTGTGGGTGTGCGAGCGTGTGTGTGCCTGCGTGAACAAACCGCCTTCTCTCCCCTCCAGGGTGTGAACAACTTTGTGCAGTACAAATTTAGTCACCTCCCGTCAAAAGAACGACAAACGATCGTGGAGCTGGCAAAAATGTTCCTCAACCGCATCAACTACTGGCACCTGGAGGCTCCCTCACAGAGAAGGCTGCGCTCCCCTAACGATGATCTTTCGGGATACAAAGAGAACTACACAAGGTAACTGATGATGAGGTCTTCCTGTGGGCCCTGGGGAGCATGGCATGACGTGGATTTGCTCCTGGTCACGCAGAGGGTGGCCCGCCCACGGTGCCCCTCTCTGTTCAGGAATGTCACCTGTATAATCTGTCCCTTAAATGCCTAGTTCCCTTCAACCTCACGACACCCTTTTTTAACAGAGTGGGTTATCTAGACCTCTGATAGTGTCCAGGCACTTGAGATTTGGCTGGTGCCAAATGGGAGCTGTAAAACTGTAAGGTATCAGTGAGGCCTGATGGCCTAGTGGCAAGGAGCTGCACTACAATCCCAAAGGTGCACGGTTTGGATCCACCAGATGCTGTGCTGGAGAAGGAGGGGCAATCTCCTTCTGTGCCAGTTGGATCTGATTCGATGGCACACAGCAAGTAAACAAAACAAACAAAAACCAACCAAACAAAAAAACAAACTGTAAGGTGTCTCTGTTTTTAAATCTTGATTCCACACTGAGATGCTAATATAATGGGGTTGTTGTTGTTGTTATGTGCCGTCAAGTCGTTTGTGACTCATAGCGACCCTATGTACAACAGCCCTAAACCCTGCTCTATCCTGTGCCAATCGCACTGTCTCTGGTACACCCATCCCAATTACCCCAGTCACTGAATCAATCCCCCTCGGAAATGAACATAAATTGCATCTGTTCCTCTTTTGGCTGCTAAAAAAAGAAAGTCTCCAGGTTACTGTAGAGCAGTGTCAGTGTGAGGACTGAGTTGTGTCTGATTCAGGCACTGATCTTTTCAATCACTTGTTGGCCACTGGATAAGAATGACAGAAGAAGAATTGAATGCCTTTGGGCTGCTGTGGTGTCAGAAGATGAGCACTGGATATCGCGTAGACTGCCGAAAGAGCAAGCAGATGGTCCTGGAGAGTGCAGCCAGAACACTCCTCGGAGACAAGGATGACAAAGCTTCGTCTCATGGACTTTGGGCCTGTTGTTAAGAAGCGCTGGCCCTTGGGAAAAGACACGCTTGGAAAGATGGAAGATCAGCGAAGGAGGGAGCGATCTTCAACAAGATAGACAGACACAGTGCAGCAGTGGACAGCGCTGTGCCAGGAGGTGTGAGGATGGCAGGGTTCTCATCTGTGGCTCCGTCAAGTCACTGTGAGTCATACTCAAACGGCTTGACTCATACGGTACCTAACAACAACAGGAAGCCTGACAGGGAGCGCTGGTGGCCTAGGGGATGAGGAGGTTAGCTACCAGCTCAAGGGCAGGGCTTTCAGGTCCAGTGGTAGCTCCGAGGATGACGAGGGTGAGCAGTCTCCTGGAGATTTATAGCCACAGAAAACTCGCTGGAGGGTCAGCTAGGAGTCCATTGTGCCCTGAGGTCAGTGAAGGAGAGAGACATGATATGAAGCTATATTTCTCCCAGACATCACTAACTGGATTAGACTGTCATGCTGTGATTAAAATTTATAGCAACTCAGTGCAAAAGTAAAGCAATGATGATTATTACAATGTTGTTGTTAGGTGCCGTCGAGTCGTAGACGACTCATAGCGACCCTATGAATGAAAGAGCTTGTATAACTTTCATGATTTCTCCAAGTTCATAGAGTTTCCGGAGGCAAGCTCTTTCGGAAGTGGATGCCACTTGTGCTTCCTATTATTATAATGGAGCACAAGAATTCTTTTAAGAAGTAAGGATCCTAATGAAAAGGGAAAAAAAAAGTCAACTTTGGGAGGAGGAAGGGAGGGAGGGTTAAAATGTGCAAAAGTGAATGAATCAAAATCTAACTTTTCTGTAAACTTTTGCTAAAATGACAATTAAAATAAAAAAAATATTTTAAAAAAGAAAAAGAAGAAGGAACGATCCTTGTAGCCCCAGAACGACGATGGAAGTGCCTAGTATGCGTGATGCAGACTCTATTCCAGTCTTTGCACACGGAAATGGAAACTTGATACTAGCCGGCGTCGTACTGTTGTTATGTACCATTGAGTCAGTACATTGTAGACCCTCCAGCAGGTCTTCAGAGGCAGTAAGTCACATGGGTAGAGATTGTCCATCCTTCTCCTGCAGAGCAGCTGGTGGGCTCGAACCGCTCGTCTTTGTGTTAGCAATGCAACTACTTGCCACTAAGCCACCAGAGAGAAGCGTACTCAGTATCAATATAACTGCCGGAAGAACCCAGGTGAGAGGCGAAGACCATCTGTACCTCGAGTGGTCTGTACGTCCGGAGCTTGATACTCACCCCGAGGCATGCAGCTGGCGTCTACCTGGTGCTGGGACGGAGGATGATGGCCAGGCTCCTCTGTGCAGCTGGCGTCTACCTGGTGCTGGGACGGAGGAGGACGGCCAGGCTCCTCTCACCTGCTTCACAGCCTCTGAAAGCTATGAGTCAGGTCCAAGCGGACACTCACCACAGTAACCGATGAGTTGTAGGCATGGGAGGGGGTTAAGCTAAGCTTTCCTTTCTGGTCACTGATCTCGTTTCATAAGCAATACTCCCTTTCTTGCTCCTCACCTTTTAAAATATACAAGCCTTACACTTTAAGTGATGGACATTTGAACTTTTTTTACCTAAAAACATTGATGTTAAAGTAAAGCACAGTAAGACAAAGTTGATGGTAAAAATGATAATGCATGATAAGTATGGATGTGCTCAGATTCTGAATCTTACAAATGATACCATTTTATGAACAATGGGATCTTCATTTCGGGTTTTTACATAGGCAGTGGCTCTTAAATTTCTGTATTTCTCACTTATGATGAAAATTAGAAATTTAGCATTAGAAATTTCAGCAGTATATGTCTTTTAGTAGTCTCTGTCAAAGATTACCAAAAGTGACGTTCTTTGTCAAAGCCCAGCGTCTAAATGTGTTTGCTACTCACAGAAAAGAGATTGCTTCATTAAAACAAAAACAAAAACAAAAACCAAAAACCAAAAACCAAAGAAATGGGGGAGAAAGAGAAATAAATACGAAGCAGCAGGGAAGACGCGGCCATACTTTAGAGGAGAACCATCTGGAGTGAGTAGTACTCTTTGCTGGTGAGGTGCTATCTCCTGTGGGGCCGGAGCCAGTGACAGTTTTCCAGGGCCCGGTGACCCTGCAGGAACTTGCCCGTCTAGCAGAGGCACTAGGAGATTCAAACCCGAATTGTGTGCCTTTAGGTTGCACAACTCCTCCCCGCCAAGCTGCCACGGCTCCCTAACACGAGGCGGTGTCCAGCATTTACTGCTAACTTGATGGTCCTCACGATACTTTAGGAATTGCTGTGGACAGAGAAGAGGAATCTCTGGAAGGCATGCTGGGCTGGGCCTGAGTTAGGCTTCCTTTCCTCCCTTTCTGGGAGCTGAAGGGAGGTCAGCCCCTCGCTTTCGGCCTCCACGTCAGTGGTTCCATGGTCCACAGGTGGGCCTGTGTGTTGTGTCGGATGCAGAGAACAGGTGCTCAGGAGGTGCGAGCACACACGCCTCTCGCTGAAACCCAGTCACTGCGAGAGAATGTGTTGCCAGGGCGTTAAAGTACACTTGAGCAAGAGCAGAATTGTTTGGAAACAGCTCCACATTTATGAGCAGATTTCTCTAGAATTTTAACATAAAGCTATAGCATTAAGGGAGTCATTGAATATCAAAATATAAACAATGAAACAAAACCCCAAAAACCTGGATGCCAGGGAACGCAGTGCCGGTCGAAGAGGGCTTTGCAGCCCGCCTCCTGAGCAGCCAGCTGGAGGTGGAGGAGTCAGACAGTGGTGGTGGGGGACCTGCCAGAGAAACCGAGATGGAAATCTGCTGAGTCCACCCCGAGACCAAGAGCCCACCCCTTCCCATGAATAACAAATAAGGAAATGAAGGCAGATGCCACCCACCTCCCCCCACCCCTGCCGTCACACCAGGTAGTAAAGAAAGGGAAGTGGAAGGAGAAAGCCTGTGAAAATGATGAGAGTCAGGCCTGTGTCAGAGTAAAACCTCTCCACTGTGACCGCATTTGGGAATTGGATAGTGTGTGCACCCCACAGCAGGGTACCTCGCTGGTACCCATCTTCTGAGAATGGGCGATGTCACAGGCCGCAGGCACCCCGAGGCCTTGTCTTGATGACAAGTACGTGAACCTCAGGACCTGCAGTGTTGGGTCAGCTACAATCCGCAGCCATTGCAGCAGTTAGGACACAGGCCTGGAAAATTCCAGAACACAGCATCAACGCAAAAGTGAGGTGAAGTGGGATTCCCTGTGCAAAGCACTGGACTCGGAAAAAGACTGTGTGAACCAAGTGAAATGAGTGAACTCATAAAAACGCAGGAATAGGTTGAACACCAGAACGACTTAAATTACTCTCTGCTCCAAATGAAGTCAAATGATAAACGTATATTTTAATATCTTGGTAATATAAATGTATGTTAAATAAACATACATACATTCCTCAGAAATCTCAGTGCTTCTATTAAAAAACCTGGGCAGATATTTTAAAACTCCTTTCATTTCATGACTGTGTACTAAAATTATTCCGTAAAGAAATAGCCTGAAAAGAAAATGTCAGGGGAATATGATTTCTTAAAATACATCTGACCAGCAGAATCTGCTCAAGGAAATTGGCAGATAATTAGCCCTGAAATTTTGGGTTTTGCAGAGCGTCCAAAAGTTCAAGGTTGTCCCCTCACTGCAGAGATGTTTCATAAGGCAGGGCAGGCCAGAGATAGCGATCAGGGTTTTGGAAGTGGTTTTATGTAACTGTTCTATGAAGTGTGGCAGCCGATATGCCCAGGGAACATTTGTAACTAGGCGCCCAAGTTCAGGGCAGTAGTTCCCAGGAAGTAGAAGGACAGTGGCCCCCGACACAGGACATCCAGCCTTCTGCCTTGAGCCACTGGCCTGAGACGAGGGGGAGGAAGGCTTGTTCAGTTTCTGCTCCTGCCACCCCCATGGCAGCCCCATATGCGCCAGGGGAAGCAGGTCCGTGGCATTTTCAAGGGCTGATTTCTCAGAAGTGACAGAGACACCTCTCCCCGCCTCCCCCCCCCAATGACGTCCAGCCGTTGCATCGTCTTTTTATCCTCAAAGTCCCCAGTGAGACTGGCATTTAAAAGAGGGAAGGTTTGCAGTGCGTACCAAGGATGTGAAACATCAGAGTTAATGTGACTATCGGTGAACAACATACAAGGAGTCCTGGTGGTGTAGTGGTTAGAGTGCTTGGCTACGAAGAACCACGAGGTTCATGGTTCAGACTCACCAGCTGCTTCCCAGGGGACACCTGTGGCTGCCCCCACAAAGATCAGAGACACAAGAGCACCGTAGGGCAGCTCTGCTTTGTTTTTTGGGGTCCCTGGAATTAGAGACTACTTGATGGCAGTGGCCTGGTTCTGAAATAAATGCCATCTCTGTGGGCACTCAGAAAGGAATGAACGGCCATCTCACTAGGCCCATCCTTTAGGGAAGTTTCCTTACAGGTCAGTCCTGTGCGTACAGATGGGACACACTCCATCCATTTCCTTCTCTCGTCCCGGTCCCAGTGGCCGTCCCAGCTTTAAAATAACCTCAGAAAACCCTGTGCTCACTGCAGTCTCTTGTGCTTGTCTTCTCTACCTTTTTATAAATGATGAGATTCCCCTGGAAATCAAACAAAACAGAATTAACTGAAAAGTGTACACGGGGGCCTGGGAAGAATGAGTAGAACCCGATTATTGTTAACACGTTGCCATAAATGATGGCAAATGTGTTTCTGAGCACGGTCGTCAATTTAAAAGTGTGCGGCAACGTGTTAAAAAATGATTAGATATTGAACCTGTGCTGTCCTTGACCCTGGGCGGCGGTGAATGACCATCGGAGGACTTTCTGGTCATATTCTGGTTAGAACATCTTTCTCATTCACAACTCAGCTCATTGTTGACGAGTTGGAACCGACTCAAAGCTGACCCTGCAGTGGGTTTTCAGAGGCTGTACGTTGCAGGGGAGGAGACTGGCCATCTTTCTCCCACAGGGAAGCTAGTAGATTTGAACAGCTTGTCTTTGGGTTGGCAGCACAATTTCAGATAGTGACATCCAACCTCAGGGATCTGTGAGTCCCTCCAAAGATAGAGAATGCTCTTTAAACTTTGAAACACTATGAAAATACTTAGAAATATGTTGGCCACAAACATGAGTCACGTATGGAGTTTCAGATTTTTTAGTAGGTACGCTAAAAATCAAATAGAACTGGAAAACTGATTTTAATAATGTTGATTTTAATCCATGGTGTAGGAAGTATTGTCATTTCAGGGTGTAATTATGTAGAGATTGTCAAGATAATTTTAGTTACATGTCTTTAACTTAAATTTCAACTAATGTTGTTATGTGCCGTCGAGTCGCTTGCGACTCATAGCGACCCTATGTACAACAGCCCTAAACTCTGCTCTGTCCTGTGCCAATCGTACTGTCTCCGACACTCCCATCCTGATTATCCCAGTCACTGAATCAATCCACCTCATAGAGGGCCTTCCCCTCCTGCACTGTCCCTCCACCCTCCCAAGCATGATGTCCCTCTCCAAGGACCGGTCTCTCCTCACAACATGTCCAAAGTATGTCAGATGGAGCCTCAGAATCCTTGCCTCCAAGGAGCCACCCAGTTTAACCCTTTCAAGGACAAACTAGGTAACATGAAACAAAATAATAATAATAATAATAATAATAATAATAATAATAATAATAATAAACAACAACCCCAAACCCAAAAAAACCCAAGCTGGTGTGCTACACTAGCCTCAGTTGAAGTGCTCAGAAAGTTAGTTATATGTGGCTAGGGGTTTCTGTATTGAACAACACAGATCAGCTGCATAGGACGTTGATCTAGAGTTCTTTACATTTTACACCGTTAAACTTTAACATTTGAAAGTATCTTCAACAAACAGTTCTATGGTAGCCTGAATCTCAAGACATTAAACTTTGCTGTTGAAGTGACTGTTTAACTCTTACATTTATGGTCATACGTCGTCCCTGGGAGCGCATCTTCCCTTAGCTCCTGATACCCTGGCAACGTCTTTTAAGGGATGGGAGAGTGAGATCCAGCAGGGATAAGTTTGAGAGTGAGGGCTTTCCATCCACAGCCCTCAATTGAAGGTGCTTCTCTCTTTTCTGTGCTGCCAAGTTGACTGCTTCATCTTGGAGTCACCCCGCTCCCCTCAAGCTCATGCAGCGGCAAAGCAGGTCCTGAGTGTGAGTGTGAGTCCCCGAAAAGGTCCCTGAGTCACAGCTGGCGGAGCTACGTGACTTCCTGCGTTGTGACGGAGTGTGGAAAGTCTCAAAGATCTGTATCTTCTTACCACGGCTTCCGGGACCTGTGCCTGCGATGGGGCGTTTTCAAGAGAACTGGATGACACAGTTGTGATTCTTTCATGAAAGAGACCTCCTCAGAGTCACCTGGACTCTCTTTCACTTTATCTGCTCTGGTGGCAAAGGAGGTCTGGTGGCCTTGTGAGTAAGGGGCCGTGCTGTCAACCCAGAGGAAGGCAGTTCGCAGCCACCAGCAGCTCCAAGGGAGAAAGGTGGGAAGTCTTCTCCTGTGCTGTTTACCGCCTTGAAAAACTAGCTGAGGGTCAGCTGTGACTCAGGTCCAAACCCAGGGCAATGAGAAGGCGGCTTCGCATGACAGTGAAAGTTTATGTGCCGACAACTCCCATTACTCTGTGCTCACAGCCGCCCATTCAGGTGGATGTCCTTGTTCCCATTTAACAGGTAAGGAAGTCGAGGCTTAACAACATAATCAAGTCCCAGAAATCACTCGCTCAGCTTAGCAGCACTGCAGGGATTTGAACCCAGGGCTGTCTGATCCCATTGCACGGTTACTGCAGAAGTGGGTCTCTGGGGCTGTGGAAAGCCACGCTGGTCACTTCCCAGTCTTCCCTGGCTGCGGGTAACCCCGTTGCCCATCGCTGTGGGCCTCTCTCTCCTGCGTGGCTGGTGGGATGAGGCTGCGGGCGTTGATGGCGTTTGTCTCGTGTCGTTGCAGGTGGCTGTGTTACTGCAATGTGCCACAGTTCTGTGACAGTCTACCTCGGTACGAAACCACGCAGGTGTTCGGGAGGACGCTGCTCCGCTCCGTCTTCACCGTCATGCGGCGGCAGCTCCTGGAGCAGGCCCGGCAGGAGAAGGACAAGCTGCCGCTGGAGAAGCGAACGCTAATCCTCACCCACTTCCCCAAGTAAGAGCCCCTTCGCTGCACGCTGACCTTAGGCCGGAGGTTGATGAGGGCGAGCTGGGCCTGCATGACGGCAGGGTCAGGAGCAATAGAAGCCCAGCCTGTGCTCGGGACCCTCCTCTCCTCCTCCTCCCTCCCCGGACTGACCACTGTTAGCTGGATTTTCTATTGACCAGTCATTATACAGAGAGCCCTCATGGCTCAGTGGTAAGGGGTAGTGCTGCCATTCCAGAGGTTGGCGGTTCCAGTCCTCCAGTTGCTTCATGGGAAAAAGATGGGCAGTCTGCTCCCATGAGATTTACAGTCTCTGAAAATCGGTCAGGGGGTCAGCTAGGAGTCAGTTCAGCTTCTACAGAAATACGGGCAATCTCCTCCCATGTGAATTACCATGTCTGAAAACCAGTTGGAGGGGCAGCTCTGAGTCGCTTCCCACTAAACAGTGCGGACCAACAAGAAGCCATTGTGCCTGAGTCATCAGTACGCCCTGCCCCGTCCTGCTTGGGCCGTTCATCACCTCTGGAGTCTTATATTTTGGGACTGGGCGGTGGGGACAGGACACAGGGAAGCTAGAAGGGAGATGGGGAGAGGAGAGCATAGAAGCCACCTCTGTCACCCAGGACATGGCAGAAGAGAGCTGTTTCATTTCCACCCAGTTCTCCAGTCGTTTGAGGTGTTAGGAGCCACCCTCACCTCACTTCCAGCAAACTCATTCACTTACTTCGGAAGCGAGACCCCAGCAAGGCTGGCCAGGCCTGCGGCCCCCTCTCAGAATAATCACTGCTGTGTCCGACCTCCCTGGACTGTGTGGTCGTTCCCTGTAAATGTACACACTGATGTCCCTTCAGGAGCTCTGGGGTGGTGGGCTTGGTCACGGAAAGGTCTGAGGGTTGAATCCATCAGCTACTCCCCAGTGGGCAGTCTGTCCTGTGAAGGTTTGTAGCCCTGACCCCCGATGGCGGGCACTCGAGGTGAGAATTGGACTCCACAGCTGCGGGCTTTGTGCCCTGCTGCTTACCCCTGGCAAAAACCCAGACACGAAGAATCATTTCAATGCTTTGCAAAGGAGAGATGCCCAAGGACTCAGAAGTCGCTACCTGCACCGTCGGCCTTTCAGGACTTGTGTTCTGAGCTGCTCTTGTTGGTTGCCAAGGCAGAACCAGCTCGTCACCGGCCCTCCGGTGAGTTTTCGGAGGCTGTAAATTGTTCAGGAGGCAACTGCCCATCCTTTCCCCTGGAGCAAGCTGGTGGATTTGAACTGTGTGCCTTTGGGATTACAGTGCAGCTTCTTACCACTAGGCCACCAGTGCTCCTTGTACTTTCAATGCTAAGCACCCAAAATAGAGGCTAAGAGTGGCTGCTGGGTTTGAGAGGGCAGGTCCAGTTGGTAAATTGTCATTGGAACAGGGATGGCAAGAAAGAATGGGACAGTTGGCTCTGTGCTTGTCATTCTGTCTAATCCAGCATTTGGTGGGGACAGGACAGGGGACGTAGAAAAGAAATTTGAAAAGTCCCTCGAGGTGTTACCTAGGCCCCTCCTCATCGCTTCAAGAACAGCTGATGTATAAATGGAATGTTTAAGAAAGGAGCCATTCTTTGACCAAAGGTTGAGAAAAACTGGTCGAGTGAGTGTGTGTGTGTGTGTGTGTACGTGTACACGTACGTACACGTGTATACCATCAAATCAGATGTGATTGGTACAGGAGGAGATTGCCCCTCTTTCTCCAACAGAACATCTTGTAGATTCAAACCATGCGCCTCTGGAATTGCAGTGCAGCTTCTTGCCACAAGGCCACCAGAGCTTCCTGGTAATTTATGTATTTATTTTTAAAAACCAACCAAAAACAAACCAAAATACATCAAGCTAGATTTTTATTATAAAGATGCTATTCCTGGATTACCAAAGTTGCCTTATACCTCTGAAAAGCTAGTTTTATTTTTCAAACTGAGATGTTGTTATTGTTGTTTTGTGCCATCGAGTCGCTTGTGACTCATAGCGATCCTGTGTCCAAAAGCCCTGTCCCAATTGCACTGTCTCCTACACACCCATCCCAATTACCCCAGTCACTGAATCCACCTCATAGAGGGCCTTCCTCTCCTGCGCTGTCCCTCCACCCTACCAAGCATGATGTTCCTCTCTAAGGACCAGTCTCTCCTTACAACGTGTCCAAATTATGTCAAATGAAGCCTCAGCATCCTTGCCTCCAAGGAGCAGCCTAGTTTAACCCTCTCTAGGATGAATCTGTTTGTTTTCCTAGCAGTCCATGGTACCCTTGATACTCTTCTCCAGCACCACAGCTCAAAGGCATCAGTTCTCCTATCCTCCTTAGTCATTGCCCAACTCTCTGATGCGTAACAAGTGATTGCAAAGACCATGGCCTGTATCAGATGCACCCTAGTCTCCAGAGAGACACTGTTGCTCTTCAGAACTTTAGAGAGGTCCCTAACAGCAGACTTTCCCATCGCAATACGTCTTTTAATTTCCTGGCTACTGGTGCCGCGAGTGTTGACTGTGGAGCCAAGCAAACTGAAGCTGTGAACAATCTCAGTCTCTTCACCATCCATCCTGATGCTGCCAATTGGTCTAGTGGTTAGAATCTTTGTTTTCTTGACATTGAGCCTCAATCCATATTGAAGGCTGCAGTCCTTGACCCTCTGCAGCACACATTTCAGGTCCTCCTCATTTTCAGCAAGCAGAGTTGTGTCATCTGCATAATGCAGATTGTTGATAGATCTTCCACCAGTCCTGACACCACATTTCTCCTCAGAGAGCCCAGCCTCTGGATAATCTGTTCTACATACAGGTTGAAAAGGTATGGAGGCAGGACACATCCCTGACATACGTAAAAAACCTCAAACTGAGATAGGTGTAAATAAATAGAAATGGTTTCCCTGCTCGAAATTGACTTTGTAATTTAATAAAAAATTTGAGCCTCAGCTTGAGGTTGTCAAGTCCACTTGTACTGAGCTTTAAATGAACAATTGATCCCTAGATGCTTTTGCCCTGAATTTCAGTATTTTGTTAAGGGACGCACGCATCTCCTGGAGTCTACGGCGTGACAGGAGTGTTTGTGTTCTCTCTCTGGAGGAAGAGAAGGAAGAACTCCAGCTGCAGTTTGGCTTTGCGTCTGCTGGACCATGACTTTTCAGACTGCCTCTGAATGGCTGTGCGCTGCTTCCTTAGAGAGGAGAGCTGTTTTCTTCATGTTTCTCTGTTATTTGCCACATAAGCAGTGTTTCCCCCTTCCAGATCGTGTTGGTCATTCTGTGTCTAAGGCGAGGCGCCGGGAGGCCCCTTCCTCCTACCTTTGAAGGTGCGGGAGGAGAAATTGCAATTGTCTTGTATGGTGGCAATTTCTTTCCCCCTCAACAAATTCATTTTTCTTCTTGCAGATATTTGCTAATTATAGTGTTTTGTTCTTTCTACCCATAGTCTTGGCATGCGTATGCTGTTGAGCTGAAAAACTCACTGCAGCTTTCTTCTCTTCTCTATTACTAATAGCAGGGTAAACCTACCACCCACTCCTGCTTTTAAGTCCCTCTGCCTTGAATATGACAACATTTACTGCTGCTGCGGGTTTATTCTGACAGCTGGCAGCGGAACCACACATCTTGCAGTTGGAGATGCTGTTTGGACCCGCCACTCTCTCCAGGGCGGAGCTGACTCCCCTTTCCCACCCTCCGTGAGGGCCCCTGATTCCTGTCCGTGGTCAGTGGTCACATCCTCCTCTCCCTGTTCTTGAGACGTAGCTGTTCTTCTTCCACTTGGGCGGTAACTCTACCTTTTTTCTTCCCTCCTGTTTCACCAGGGCTGTTCTTAAGAAGTTCAGCTTCATTTGAAAAGCATGGCAAGTGCAGATGTTAAAGACAGTTTGGTTAAGAGAGGAACACGTAAGATCAGATAATGCATACTTCTTCCACTTGCAACTTTTCGATCTGGTTTTTCTCCATATGATGTTGGTTTTGTCTGCTTACAGTTTTATACCCTGTGTGAGTAAAAACAAGGGTTTTCCATGTCATTGTATATGAAGATGTTCTTTATTGTCATTCCTCTGTATTTGTCTGCCTGTCTCTTACACACACACCCCTCCTCTCTCCCTCTCTCCGTCCTTCTCTCCCATTCTTACACACACATCCACACTCACCTCCTCTCTCTCCCTCTCTCCGTCCTTCTCTCCCGTTCCCACTCCCACTCCCTTTTCCTCTCTTGTACGTTTGTGTGTTACCAGAACAGTCTCCAGATTGAAGGACTTCTCTGTCACTAGCGAATGACAGAGAGACCAAAGTTGTCATACAGCTTTCTGCCAGAGAACGCTGCCGAGGAAGCATCGGGAAAGGGTTTATTCCCACCACCGCCGTGTCGAAGTCAGAGTCTCCTAAAGAGCCCGAACAGCTATTCATCGGGGGGCTGAGCTTCAGGACGACGGATGAAAGTCTGAGGAGCCATCGTGAGCAATGGGGGACGCTCACGGACTGTGTGGTAATGAGAGATCCAAATACCAAGTGCCCCAGAGGCTTTGGCTTTGTCACGTACTCAACTGTGGAAGAGGTGGATGCAGCCATGAATGCAAGGCCCCACAAGGTGGATGGAAGGGTGGTGGAACCCAGAGGGCTGTCTCGAAAGAAGATTCTCAAAGACCAGGTGCCCACTTAACTGTGAAAAAGATCTTTGTTGGTGGAATTAAAGAAGACACTGAAGAACATCACTTAAGAGATTATTTTGAGCAAAGTTGTCATGTAGACAGGGAATGGAATGGATTTAACCGCTCAAGTCATTTGGGGCAGCGTAGTTGTCTTGTTCCTGGTGCTGATTTCCCCCAGGCCGCCTGCTGGCTCTCCTGCCCCCTGGTTCTCCCTCCCCCTCTCCCCCCCCCCCCCCCCGCCTCTCCCTCACCTTTCCCCTGGCTTTCTTCCCCCCCCCCCACCCCGGCTTTCCTACCTGAAAGGTTATGTGCCCCTCACAGTCACCTTGCATAAGTATTCATTGTGGTGTGCGCAGCAGTTAGCTCACGCCTCTGTCTCTGCCTGCCTTCTGGAGCCAGTTTCTAGTTTATGGTCCCTGGCAAAGCTCTTGACAAGACAAGCCCAGTCCTCTCGCTGAAGAATCTTCTTTCCAGTTGGAACTTTGTGGGTAGCTGCATCTGTCAGGGTTGAGACCTGTAGGGTTCATAGTCACTACGAGTCACAGTTGATGGACTTGGCGGCACATGACAACGACAGTCCATAAGCAAAGTCCAGTCCAGAGGAAGCCGGCAGCTTGTAACAGTTCCCCTTCACGCCCAGCGCCGCGTCTGGCCGAGTTCTGGTCAGCTCGTCCCTAGCCGTGGGCACCAGTCACAGACTCGGGGTCTGTACGTCTTTCCGTGTCCAGACTGCCCGTCCTTTCACTCTTAGCGAGAGTCCATTCACCTGTGAGTACAAGCTCCGTCAGCGCCCACTAACGGGATCCTCCCACACTTGGCCTATCTGCCTCTCTATTCTACCCGCCCCTCCTTCTGTGCTCATCAGAGGGACCCAGAGGTCACCAAGAGCAAGCGCCTCGCTGCCCAGCTCCCCTGAACTGCCTGTCCTGGAAGGGGCCCTGATGGGCACCGCCTTGGCCAGCCTGGGTGCATCCAGAGGCACAAACCAGCTTGCCACAATTGTGTTTCCCGCTCTCTCCTGTCAGCAAGGCTGCATTCACCAGAGCGCGTCTCTCCCTGTGCAGCATATCCAGTCACCAATGGGACCCACGTGGATTAGTGGGCAAGGAATTGTGCTGCCAAACCAAAGGCACGTGGTTCGAATCAACCAGCTTCTCTGTGGAAGAGGAGCAGTCTCTTTCCATGTGTTTGTCGTTTCTGAAAGCCCAGCAGAGGACCAGCTGTGAGTTGGTTCCAGCTGAGCGGCTTGTTACAACCACCACCACCACCACCAAGTGTAACCACCTCTCTGGTTACAGATTCTGAAATCAATGACACCCATTATTCATTTCCGTCTTACACATCACACCACTGAATAGAAACAACATTCAGTATCTATCAGCTCCCTTCAGATAAACACCATAACACACACCTCCCAGCTTTACCTTCTGCCATCCCATAGAAAACCCCAGAACCCTTTTAAAGCAGCACAGTCAGCCGTCTTAGCGCTCCTTCCTGTGCTCCCAGCATCTTGCTCCGGTCACCGGGTCCCTAGTTCTCTGCCATCTCCGCTGTGGTCTTGGTTCTTGACTGCTTTGAATCTTGACCCAGGTGGATGTGTTGCACCTCTTTCCTTGATGGTATAAAGATTCCTCTGCTTCCAGACTTGCTCGGTTTAAGCCTGCCAAACAACAGGTTGGACCTTACTTTCTCCTCATTTGTGGTAAAGGGGGCGTCAGGTGTGGATTAAAGCCTCGCCATGCAGAGAGTTCTAGAATCCCAGGTGCCATATATAGTGATAGGTAGAGAGCTGAGTTGCGCTCTGGCTGCCGATAGATCTTTTGTTATATAACTCCTGAGAAGGTAAGAACATCACGCCTGCTGTGGTGAGGGGCAGCTGAGGCAGTCTTAGCCAGCGGCGGGTGAGGTTAGAGGGAGTGGGCCTGCATCCAGAGCCGCCTCGGCAGCAAGGCCAGCGTGGGACCCGGAAGGACGGGGCCCTTTTCTTGCTGCAAGTCCTTCTTTGTTGGGCAGTGTCTTAAATGCAAGTTCACGGTGGCTGGCTTCGTAGGAACCAGTGACTCAGGCTGTTTCTCCAAACCACAAAGGGCATATGTTATTCACTCAGTTCTGAGTGACAGTTCTGAACCGGTCTAGCTGGGAGAAGCAGGTCAGAAGACCCCTGCTGTTCCTTTCTTCCCCAAACTGTTGTCACTTCTAAAAAGTCCATTTCTCCAGCCTCTGAAGCCTCTCAACATCTTTCTGATGTTGATAAATGAGAAGAACATTGGGACTCTGAGTCATGGTGATGGTGTTAATGATGATTAGATTATAATGTTGTTGGTTGTGTACCGTTGAGTCAGGACCAACCCAGAGCTGACCGCCACCCATAGCTGGCCCTGCGGCAGGTGTTCAGAGGTAGTAAATCACACGGGAGGAGACTGCCCATCCTTCTCCCGCAGAACAGCTGGTGGATTCAAACTGCGTGCCTTCGGGATTGCAGCGCAGCTTCTTGCCACTAGGCCACCAGAGCTCCCTTATGCAGGCCCTTTATTAAGCCTTTAAAACCTCAGTGCTACATGTTGTTGTGTGACACTGGCTCAGAACCAATTCACAGCTGCCCCTCCAGCAGGTTTTCAGAGGCAGTAAGTCCCACGAGAGGAGGTTGCCCGTCCTCCCACAGAGCAACTGCTGGGTTCACACCCAGTGACCTTTGAGATTGCAGTGCAGCTTCGTACCACTAGATAAGTTTCACAAGTCAATTTTTACAATTTTATAAAGGTGAAGTGACATACATGTGCACTATAGTATGTTCTTGGGGTCCGGGCAATCCCCATCATTAACTCCAGTAATGATTGTAATGACTCTAAATTTTTGACATCAGTTTAGGTTAGAGTGGATTACCCAAAGGGCTGTAGGCAGTCTTTCCCTTGAAGGGCTTTAGAATCTCTGAAGCACAGTGAAGGAATAGTGGGGTTACTGTCTTTAGCATTCATTGTCCCGTCAGCACGTAAGGAGCCTTTTGTCCGCTCCGCCCTTGCAGCACCCAGCACGGTGCCTGTTAGCACAGGGTAAGCAGCACGTCCATACTTGTTAAATGAATGAGGGGAGCACTTCCCGGGGTCGTGCCCTGTTCTCAGTGCGCACATTTTCTTATTGATTCTTCGTTATCGCCCTACATGGGATTCCTGTTGATAGTTCCATGTTCTAGACAAGGCAGTTGAGAAAGACACAAAGGCTTGCTCTGAAGCCATGCAGTTCATAAGGGATGGCACTGGACCACCTCAGCTAGAAAGAACACACCTAGACGCTCTGAGTCCTAGGTAGGGACAGATGTCTAATGCCCTTTCCTGATAACCAAAAGGTTGAGAGTTATAATTCATCTAGATAGCCTCTTAAAGAAACTTGGTAATCCACTTAAAATAAAAAAAAAAAAACAACAACAAACCAAACCAACAAACTAGCCATGGAAAGTCCATGAGGGCCATGTCGCCCAGACACAAGTTGTATCACTGTGATGGGGTTTTTCTTGTTGTTGTTTTGCTTTTAGAAACAGACTTACAGGAAATTATCCTGGAACTGAAAAGGTGGGCATGTTAGCATTGTATCAAACTTATTTTTTACTTTAGTGTACTTAAGTTTTATCTGACACAATTTAGTGACCTGGCTTGTTGCCAAGAAGAATCTGGGTCGGTGAGCTTCAGGAAGGCTTGACATCTATAATTTTAATAAATTCTTCTTGTTGATAACACGTGATCGCCTGGTTCCAGTCCTGGCCATGCCACTTGCTAGTTCGTGTGAATTTGGACCAGTTATTCAGTCTCTGAGACGTAATATTTGTAAGTGGGTATAGTAACAGGTCCCGTTTTACAGATGGATATAATAACATCCCATCTTATAAGGTTATTATTAAATGAGTTAATACGTCCAACCACTTAGAATGCCACCGTTGTTGTTGTTACGAGCCAGCACTGCAGATCGGAACCCTGCTCTGTCCTGCGCCATCCTCACAGTTTCCAACATGCTTGATCTCTCCGTGGACGAGGAATAAACATAACTCTCCCACTTCTAAAAGCTGATGTGAGGGTAAAACAATAAGTTCTTTGGACAATGCAAACATGTGACAAGCACTTAATAAATATTAGCAACTTTGTAATGCTGGAGGGATTTCAGGGCCTGCTGCAAGGAGGGTTCAGATTTTATGCTGAGCATCTTGGAAGAGGACTGTCCGTCTCCACTGACGTCCGGCCTCTCTCTAGCCTGTGTTCCATCTCACTGTGCAGGGTTAGAGGAGATGCATCTGTAGAGATGCATTTCTTGACTTGACAGTATACCAGGTCCAGCTGATCCCTCACACACGTCTTAACTCATCACTGTGTTCTGAACCAAAGGTGAGATGCTGGCATGGCATTAAGGTGATTTCAGCTTCTGTTGGTTCGAGTCCATCAGCTGCTCTGAGGAAGAAGGAGAAGCAGTCTCCTCGCGTGTGACTTATAACCTCCTCAAACCTGCTGGAGAGTCAGCTGAGAGGCGGTTCCAGATGAGTGGTCCATAATAACAAGTCACCGATGACCTTTTGCTCTTGTTTCTAGGTTTCTGTCCATGTTAGAGGAAGAAGTGTATAGTCAGAACTCTCCCATCTGGGATCAGGACTTTCTCTCCACCTCTTCCAGAAGCGGCCATCTGGGCATCCAGACAGGTAAATCCCTCTCCACTTGCGCCACGAGCTACCAGGAGGACCGGCTTTGGGGTGCTGCTTGCAGCTCACTCTGCACCTATTTGGGTTTTTCCATCAGGAAGTTGAAGAAGAGCCAGCAAAAAAAGCAAAGCCTCTGTCACATCTTCTGTCTGCCTCCCTGTTAATGAGGAGAAAGCAGGTGCGAGGCAGAACCTTGCAGCTCTGTCTCCTGACAGGAGGTGCAGGTGCACGCCTGACTGTTAAAAATACAGGCTCCCCTGCCCCAAACAAAGCGCTGCAGGGTTCGCCTGCCTTGTGCATCACACTGTGGAAGAGAGGCCTCCAATGGCAGGCAGCCCAGCCTGTGGACGGGCGGTGGCTGTTCTCAGAGGCTGGTGTCCCCGGGGACCCAGGAATCACATCTTAGTTCGGTCTATGATGTCTTGGTGTTGGTGCTTTGCACATTGAACTGTGTGACACCCTTTCGCTCCTTGTGCTTTGCGTGCTGTCTGTCTCTTTCCCGGTTTTCAAATATCTCCTTGGCCCACAAAAGCTTCTCTCAAGAATACATGTCCTCTCTTCTGCACTTTCACAGAACCTTGAATATTCTCCAGTTTGCTTCACAGTGGAACCACCTGGGGAGATTTGAAAGCCCGCAGAGCTCAGAGCTGCATCCCGAGAGAGTGGGGTGTATGTGGCCCGGGTCCCTCCCCTGCCGGCTTCTCAGGTGGTTGCATTGTGCAGCAGGGCCTGTGGATTACGGCATTGTACGGAGGACACCTGGTGGTGCAGCGGGTAAGCCCTCAGCTGCTAAACCCACCAGCCACTCCCTTGAGCTTCTCGGGCTAGGACACAACCTGAGAAATTGATACAAAGAGGTTCTCAGGTAGATGAGGAACCAGCATATCAGGGAGGAACAGCAGACAGCTTCTAATCAGAATGCGTAAGTGATCAAATTGGGGTGCCTGGATCTCACCGCTGTGCTGTCAGGTCTTGTTGCGTGAGGCCAGCGTGCAGCAAACACTGTTGAGTGGGGATCCGGCTTCCACGTCGTTCAGCTAGTGAGGTGTTCAAGGTTTGTAGCAGGCCAGCGTCGTTCTCCTTGGGGGTGTCTCTCTGTGTGAGCATTGACAATGCTTCTGGCCTCCTAAGTGCCTCCAAGTCCTGGCCCCACGTCGTTATCTGCCACCACACAAGGTGGAGGTGGTCCAGGCTGTCTGTAAACCGGTGGGGCTGCTGTGTTTATTTCTACAGCTAAGACTTGTCTGGCTAAGCTGGCTTGTTCATTTCACGTTACCTGAAGCCGTCAGGAGCGGCTGCCCTGTGCGTTCACTCCTGTAATTGCAGTGTTTCTTCTCATGAGTCACCCATTTAATTGGCATGTCTGCATGTCTTTGCAGCTGTGATAAATGACGTTTGTAATGATGGTTCTGAAGCTTTTTTTGCAACATACTCAACTACCTTCTATATCAGCAGAGGTTCCTCCTGGTTTAAAATGACTCTGGTGCACTTTGGAGTTCACAAGCCCTGGCTGATGGCAAGAACGCCCTGGAGCCCCGTGGCTGCTCCATGATGCTGCTTACATACTGACTGCTGCAGCGTGGCTGAGGGTGTTCTCGGACGCTGGGCTGGGCTTTCCCTTTTCCTTCACTTTCTTGGCTACTGGACATCCTGTGGGACAAAACAGTGCCAGCATTGCCGGAGTCTGTCCCCGCTGCCGTTGTGTGTCCCGTGTCCGGCTGGCACACAGAGAACATCTCTGCCTTCATTACCCTTCATTTCAGCAACCACCCATCAGCTCTGCAGCCAGCAGCGTCCTGTCCTACCTCCTCCTGCCGCACTTCACAGTTGGTTTTATTTGGAAATTCTTACAAGTTATAAAAAGTTGCAGGGAAAATTATTTCTGTTGCATTTCCTTTATCCAAAGACCCCCGTTGTTAACATGTGAGGGTTCCTTTATCATTCTCTATCCTTCCCCTCCCTCCTTCCCTCTGCCCTGTTCTGCCCCTTCTCCTTTATATACATGATGTTCACAACTTCGTAATGATGTGCGTATGTATATAAACTTTCCACTTACGCACTGTGTCAAAAGAAATTGCAGGCCCCATGCCCTTTGACCTGCATCCCTCACCACTGTGGATTGCTTAGGGAGAAGTGGAATGAAAGGCATTCTCTTATGTATCAGGGAGCTCTGGTGGCCGAGTGACAAAGGGTTGCTCTCAACTCCAAGGCACTGCGCCAGACCTCACCATCTGCTCCATGAGAGAAGGAAGGGTGGGAAAACCCCTGGAGGGGCAGCCATGAATTGGTTCTGACTCCCTGGTACACAACAGGTAACACCAGTGTAGCTGTCAAAGTCAGGACATTTAACATTGTTCCAGTGTATAATCAAATCACTGGGAGATCTTCCACACTTGCTTCCTATCTTTGCAGTTTAGATCAGGAGGCACACGAGGTTGGTTTATCCCATTATTTTTGGCAGTAATTGGATTGCTTGCTTATGGTGGTATTTACCAGGCTTCTCCAGGCTAGGATAATGTGACCACTTCTCTTTATAGAGTCAAAAGATAACTTTTCTCAGGGGAGATACTTTGTGATTAGGTAAATGCCTTGTCCTTCATCAGAGTGATGCTCAAATATTAGCCTGCATGGATGATTCTTCCTCCTCAAATCAGTCAGCATGTGGCGACTGGAGGCTTGTGTGAAACGTTCTTCCAGAAGGAAGAGCTTTCTCTTCTCCCTGCTTACTTATTTATTTTATCCACATGGTCCGAGACGAGTTTATTCTGTTTCGTGCACTGGAGTGCATTGCTGTTTGCACTGTCCTGATGACAGTCTTGGGATCCACTGCCGTCCTTACTGTGCTGCCGTCCACACTGGCCCCTGGCTTTTGCTGTGACAGCGACTTCTTTTTGGGCAGGAGTGGCCTAGGGGGTCCCTCGTCGCTAAGGAAGAGCCACCTTCATCTCATTCTCCTTCTCTTGGCCAGTTATCAGCCCACCTCCCGTGGCTGGGACACTCTCCTACAACTCCAGCCCGTCGTCCCTAGAGCAGCTGAATGGGCGGAGTGCCAGCCCTGCGGGCAGAGGTTCTGGGCTCGAGGTGAACCCAGGTAAGCGCCTGACAGGGGTGCCCATGCCCTCTGTTCTGTCAGAAGCACCAGAATCAGAGTAAGAACTCTGGCGTAGTGGCCAGGGGCTCCTGACCCAAACAAAGGCCAAACCCAGCAGGTGGTTTGACTCTGCCAGCAGCTGAGAGAGAGAGAGACAGAGGGAGAGAGACAGACAGAGACAGAGACAGAGACAGAGACAGACAGACAGATAGAAAGACAGAGAGACAGAGACAGAGAGACAGACAGAGAGAGAGACACAGAAAGAAAGAAAGAAAGAAAGAAAGAAAGAAAGAAAGAAAGAAAGAAAGAAAGAAAGAAAGAAAGAAAGAGAGAGAGAGAGAGAGAGAGAGAGAAGGAAGGAAGGAGGGAGGGAAGGAAGGAGGGAGGGAAGGAAGGAAGGAAGGAAGGAAGAACAGTCTTCTCTTGTGCATATACGGCCTCTGAAAACTCTGTGGAGGGTCAGTTGTGAGTCTGTTCCAACTAGGGCAGGGAGTGAATGGCAGATGGTACGGGGAGCCCTTGTGGTCACGGGGAGTTGCACTGCTAACACACCGTGTCTGGCAGTTCAGACCCTCCAGGGCCTCCTTGGGACAAAGAAGGCCAGTCTCCTTCCCGATGATTCACAGCCTCCGACGCTCAGGGGAGGGTCAGCCGCAGTCCTGACCCGACCACGCTGAGGTTGCATTTGGTGGCGGAGCCTGTCTAGGATGTTACTGGCTGGGAATGGCTCTGTTGGCCTTTGGACTGTGTGGCTTCGGTATTTCTGTGTAAAATCAAGTCACCTAAACAGAACAGTGATCGTCCCTAATCACAGTTGCTGTGTTCTGTGTGTTGATTGGTAATTAGCTGGCCCTGCTTGGTCTTGGCTGTGTGTGTGTGTGTGTGTGTGTGTGTGTGTTCGTTCACATCCACAAGCACCCATTATCTGCTCCTCTTTGGTTGTCATAGGAGAAAAGAGGAAAATGAATGAGTCGCATCCTCTGGAGGAAGCGAAGAAACCCCGGGTTACAGGTGATATTCCGATGGAATTAATCAATGAGGTCATGTCCACCATCACAGACCCTGCAGCGATGCTGGGACCGGAGGTGAGCAGGGAAACCCGGGCCAGTCACGGGGAGATCACTCTGTCCCCCTCGTAGACTCCTTTGCTGTTAGAAGTCGGGGTGCAGCGCTGAGACGTTAGCAGGCTGCGTGGCCTGACTGTGTTTTGTGGGGAGAGTGGGTGGGAGGGCCGGGCAGATGGTTGAGTGGTGATGTCCCTTGAACAACATCGCTTTACGTGGAAATATACTAATGATGTCACACAAGTGAGGCCATTCCCCCAGTTTTTATTTTTGAAAATTATCACTCAAGGGTTACAGGAATTCTGTGATAGATATTTAGAGGTGTCACTTAAATTCATTAGTTGGTAGCAGTTTGCTGTATTCGTATTTCCTCTTTACTGTGAGCCATTTGGAATTATTTCATAGTTAAATGCGGAAGCTGTAACACTTCTCTCCTAACCTTTTCTGTGTGCCTCTCTAAAACATGAGGCTGTTTTTAAGTCTACATAGCCACAGTACAGTTCCTGTTCTCGGGAAACTCAGCACGGTTATAGTGTTACTATAATACAGGACACAAGGTTGCAGACCACAGTCTAAATCCATCTTGCTGTCTGCTTTGTCAATAAAGCTTTATTGAAACGTTTGATCTGTGGCTCCTTTTCCATTGCACTGGCACATGGGAATAGTTTAGACAAAGTTTAAAATATTATCTGGCTCTTTGCCGACTGTTGGCCTTTTGTTGTTGTTGTTGTTGTGGACCTTGAGTCAGAATTGCCCCGTAGCTGACTCTCCAGGAGGTTTTCTGAGACAGTTTGATCACACAGGTGGAGACTGCCCATTTTTCTTCTGTAGAGCTGGGGATGGATTTGAACGACCTGCCTTTGGGATTGCAGAGCCAGTCCTTACCACTGGGCCACCAGAGCTCCCTTGCACTGTTGGACAGTGGGTAAACATTTCTCCTTCTTCACATGCTGCCCTCTGTAGTGAAGGCTCCCCTCGCTGCTGGTCTCGCCCGTGAGGATTGCAGCCTCACAAATCGCACTCCGACTGAGGACTGACAGCACACAATAACAATTGCACGTCCGTTGCTGCTGTTGGAGAACTCTTCAGGCATCTTGTGCTGCATTTCTTTCTTCTCTTCACCTCTAGCTTCCTTTCAGCCAGACTGCTCCCTGACCCCCGCCCCACCCTCTTTTGGGCTGTGTGAAATGGAGGAGTCAGTCGCTTTGCATAATGTGCTTGTTTGCTTGTTTGATGCCTCTCTCCTGATGAGATATGTGCACTGTGTGTCGAGGGAGGACAGCTTTCAGGCCACGTTTCCACTGCTCCGGAAGGGCTTGTGGATTTAAAAACCACTTTCAGAGATTTTTATTTATTTAATTTTTTTAGTGCAGTTCGATTATTAAAGTATCAGTTTTTAATCGGCTGTCTTTCCTTAGGTATTCCTTTTATGATATTGAGGATAATTCAAAGAACCAGATGATGTGAGAAGAAAAAAAAAGATGTTATCCTAAACATTGCCTCTTCCATTACCTTCATGATGGCAGCCCCCCTTTTGTCAGCCTGTTTCTCGGGGATTTAGTAACTTCGCAGTTAGCTGGGCTCGGTGCCCTTTGGTCTTGACTAGAGCGTGCAGATGCTGAGACCCACATCAGAATGTCCCGGGTGGTTTTAGTGGTGTGTTGGGTGGCTCACAGCCGAGTCAGTCATTTTGAGGGACGTTGTGAGCCGGCTGTTAAATATGGTTGTAGTTTGAAGTAGGTCACAGTGGGAAAGGCTCACCGGCTCAGACAGCTCGATTGTTTTTCTCGTCACATCCTGTCATGTCAGTTGTGACTCCGGGCGACTCTGTGAACGACATTTCTGAACCTGGCCCCAATCCTGTGTCATCCGCACTGTCGTTGAGCCCGCTGTTACAGTCACCATGTCACTGTCCATGGTGCAGGGTCTTCCTCTCTCATTCTCTGACCCTACACTTTCCCCAGAGGGATGTCTCTTCCCCAGGGAAACTCTGTGACTGTCCATGAGACACCCAGCATTCTTCTGGATGACAATTCCAAGACCTGCATCCTTCTTCAGTCTTCCTTATGCATTATCCAACTTCGGATGCATAGGAAGCAGTTGGAAAGACTTTGGCTTGGATCAGGCATAGTTTAGTATTGAAACTGACATCATTGCCTTTGAGCACTTGGGAGACGCCTTGGATGGCAGGTCTCCGAATGCAGCATGCCTTTTGATGGTTTAACTGCTGTTACGATGGGTAGAGGCAGTGGATCCCAGAAATCTTTGAAAACCCGAGTCTTCTATGAAGATATTGCCTATTGATCCAGTGGGGAGGATTTTTGATTTCTTGAAATTGAGATGCAATGCACATTGAAGTGAAAATCGGCAAGTACTGGAAATCCAGGATTTTTTCTCCTCTGGGGAGTTGTTTGTTGAGTACTTTTACCTTCGTGCCCTTGGATAGACTAAAGATGAGGAACATGGGACGATGGCGCAAGATTGTGTTGGCTGGTGTAGTTTTGTATGAATCGGCAATCAGTCTTCTGGATGGGGACCAGAGCAGACAGTTGCCAGGGCTTCTCTTCTGACATAGGCCGACCCCATATACTCAGAGGAGAACTGCACTCCCAGCGTCTGGTCCTTGGGAAGCTGATCGCCAACCTTCTTCCCAGGAGCCTCTGGTTAGATTTGCGTCTCCTGATTTGTGCCCCTCAGAGACATCTCTTGAAAGAAAATTGTCCTCCACAAAGACCTGTCAACATTATACACAGGATTGTCCTCCTGGGCCTGGAATGGGAATGCAGATCTGTCATGGGGTTCCTCTAAACCAGAAATTGACAGGCTGTAAACCTCAGGCCAACACAGTCCTGCTTTTTGTTTTGTTTTAAATAAAGTTTTCTTGGAATAGTGCCAAATCCATTAGTTTGCCTATCGTTTGCGGTGGTTTCCACATTAAAACAGCAAGTGAGTAGTTATCAGAGATTGGCCGGCTTGCAGGTTGGAAAGATTTGCCGTTTGGAGAGTTCACTGGCCTCTCGAAAGCAGATAGTGTGTGTGCACCTTCTCTGCTCATGCTCGGCCTGTCCTCTCCGTGTTGTCTGTGTGTGTGGACCCTGAAAACTCACTGATTAGAGCAGAGAGAGTTCGTATGCTACGTCCCACCCTGCTTTCGGTGTAAGAACTGTCTGAAGACATTCCGTGACTTTAACCCCGTCTCCTGCATCGCAGACCAACCTTCTGTCGGCACACTCCGCCCGGGACGAGGCAGCGAGGCTGGAGGAACGCAGAGGTGTGATTGAATTCCATGTGGTCGGCAACTCCCTGAGCCAGAAACCCAACAAGAAGATCCTCATGTGGCTGGTGGGCCTGCAGAACGTCTTCTCCCACCAGCTGCCCCGAATGCCAAAGGAGTACATCACGCGGCTCGTCTTTGACCCGTGAGCCTGGCTTTAAGAACTTACACATTTCCGTCTTAGTGAAAATGAAGCTCTGTGATTCAAGTTACCATAGTGCATTCATTAGAGCAGTGAGAGATTAAAACGCTGGTACTTTCTTCATGGTAGAAACATTGACTGTCTTGGGATCTCAACTAGATACCAGTGTTGTGAAGGTTCAAAAAATGGGCAGCTTTTTTGAGGCATAAGAGTATTAAGCCCTGAAAATGCATTGCTTTGTGACACAAATACCCCAGCTTCTCTCATTTAGTTTCTTTGAACAAATAGTCTGACAGCCCCTGCGAGCTGTATCCATGCAGGTGGCAAACGAGTGATGTTTTAGATTTTGGAGAAGAAATGGCAGGGTGCTGTCTTACCTGTGCACTTTGTAATTCTTTCCTCCCATAATGTTGCTAAGTCAAGTTCGACTCTTGAGAAATGTCAGAACGGGCCCGGCCTTCCCGCCTGACCCCACTCGGCCCCTTGGTGTTGGGCACACCTCTCCCAGGCCACGGCCCTGGATAACTGCCCATCTCCTTCAAAAAATCCCCATAAAAGATTGTTCTAGAAAGCTAGTAGCCAGATGAAGGTTGTTTCCTTAGACACTGCGGATATACCCCTTCCCTTTTTCTGGATTTTTTTTTTTAATAAGGATTGTCACCCTCCCTCAATTGTGTTTCTATAACCAGGACAGGCCAAGCTTTGACATCATCTGCTTCTTTCAGGAAACACAAAACCCTGGCTTTAATTAAAGATGGCCGTGTCATTGGTGGTATCTGTTTCCGCATGTTCCCATCGCAAGGATTCACGGAGATTGTCTTCTGTGCCGTGACCTCAAATGAACAAGTCAAGGTAAGATGACCCAGAGGTCGAGGTGACAAGCAGAAGGTGAGCTTTTCCGTGAGGCTGCAGAGCTGGGGAAGCTCCCTGTGTGCCAGGTCCAGAGAACAGCTCGGATAGTTCCAGGCTTTCTGAGAAAAATTCTTTACCTCGTGTGTAGGTGTGTCAGGAGAGTAGACGGTTCCTCTGCCAGCTGGTAGGGTCATGTCAAGGATTTGTGAGAACCTGGGATAAAGGACAGGAGTACAAAATGTCAGGTGATGTGCAGGTCGGGGATCAGTGTACCGGATGGAAATGGAGTCTGGTGAATGCAGCCTCATTGGAAAGAAATCGATCTCATTGTTAACTGTTAATTTCAACACACACACCCCGCATACTCACCTCCACACAAACTGAGAAGGGACATGGCATAATTTAAAAACACACACACACACATACATACACACCCTCTGCACAAACTCTGAGAAGGGACATAGCATAATTTCAACACACACAGACACACCCCCCTCTCCACACAGATTCTGGGAAGGGACATGGCATAATTTCAGCGCGCACACACACACACACACACACACACTCGCTCACCTCCACATAAACTCTGAGAAGGGACATGGCATAATTTCAAAACACACACACATACATACACACCCTCTGCACAAACTCTGGGGAGGGACATAGCATGGTGTGGATTCAGAAGATCGTTTAGGCAGCTTTATAACTTCAGAGTGTTATTTTGACTGTCTTTCCCTAAAGAAGTGATAATACCTGAAAAGGGATGGGCAAGGTTCAACGGGGATTAGTTTTATAAGAGATCATGCGTGGGAATGATGGTATGAAACACAGAGTGAATGAAGGGCAGGGTGAAACACAGTGTATGCAAATGTGTAAGTAAACCAGTATAAAAGAAAACATTAAAAGTGATAAGAATTCAGGGTATGTCTATAAAAGAAGACAGGAAAAAGAATATATATAAAATAATCTATTTCAGACATACTCGTGCTTGGTTTTGGAATGTGGTGTGCGTTTGT